ACCTTGTTATATTCTGGGTAGAGAAACTGCTGTCTTCAGTTTCTCCTGATTCAGCCATGAAAAAAGTTCAATAATCTTTCTTCATATTTTCTACTGCAAATACTGTAGAATAAAAGTCTAATGCAGTTTATACCAAAACACCCCATTTGGAAGTGTCCCTTGAAATTAATGGAACATAGAATAATACCATTTTACCAAAATCACAAACATAATTCATAATTAAAGGGCCACCAGTAGCTTTATAAATGCCACTATATCACATTAAAGTAGTGCAATATCCAAAGATGTGGAGAGACCTGGCCCACAGAATCACCAAAAGTTAGACATAACTGAACGGAATCATCATCATCATCATCATCATCTTCTTCTTCTTAAAGAAAATAAACTAAAATTAGTGGTTAACCTACATTACACCCAACGATACCTATTTCTGTTTTAACAAGGCCCCATTCAGAATTTGTAGTATTTTTCTATCAACAATATCTGCAATGGACAAGGACTGTATTCCTGATGACAGAGTTTAAAAACAACAGTGAACTTGAGTGTCTACTTATTTTTTTTTTTTTGGAACTCAGATCATTTTAGAAGCAAGTTAATCTAATGTTATCTCCTAGCAGTGTACATCCAAACAACTATTAGTTTGTATCCACATTAACTAATGAATCCTTTTGCAAAAGGAAAACGAAACCCTGTGTTCACTTTAGAACCAGCATAAAAAGGCAAGTGCAATTAAAAGTACTCTTATCCTAAAATGCTGCACTTCATAAGAATTAATTTAATGGCTTTCTTTTTCTTACATTAGTAATCAATTGCTCATGTTTCAAAAGCTAAAATGTACCTTTAATGCTCATAGCTGAACGACACACTAATGGCCTATTGCATGTAATTATGACAATGTTGAAAATATACATTATCCTATATATGGATGTTACTATAATACATAATGAAAGGTATTCTAGTTTAAAATTAGTATTATTTGCATTTTATGGCATTTATATAGATAATATAAAATTTGCTTTTCTTTTTGAACTTCTATCCCATTCAAAACAAAAGATAAATATAATGTGGTTTTATATTTTTATTTTATATACTACTCACCAAAGCTGGTTCTCATGAAATTTGGGAAAACAAAAACAGAAGAAAAACAGAAGAATATATATCTCAAACTCAGCACAGACAACTGTTGGTTTGACTTTGCTCTTAGAAAAAAAGTTACAGTCCAGAAAAGACAACATTTGGTAATTAGTGTACAGGCCTGAACATGTAAATTAGAAACTGGTTTCTAGGAATGGTTTTGTATTATAATGATGCAGTCACACGGTATTGATGTCAAGCATTCAAAGAATGATAATAACACAGAATTCTTCAAAATTATTATAAAACTGTAATGTGATCACCTGGAATCCTGTTACAGTGCCAAACTGCCTCTTCAGTTAAAACTCCCTATGACAGTGACATATTTCAACAAGATGACAGATTCAGTAATGCCCTTTACAGTTCAGAGAATTTTACAACAGCTCTGGATTATAAAGCAGATTATCTTCCTTTTTTTGTTTTGTTCATTGACTAGGTATTCTGTTTGGTGATTAAGCTAGCTTCCTCTTATTTTTCCTATTAGCAAAGCATCTAGGTCAGTAATGGCGAACCTTTTAGAGACCAAGTGCCCAAAAACTGACCCCGCCCCGCTCCACCCCCTGCTCTGCCCCCACCCCGCCTGCCCACAGGGCCACTCATCACCTTCAGGGCCTGCTGCAGATTGCCCAGCAGTGACATGGCAGCCATGTCCTCTGCCCACGCCCTACAGCATCATCTGTGTGCAATGGAGCGTGAGGGCAGAGTCTTGTCTACACTGCCTGGCTGCCATATCCTTTGACTCCACTGCTCCATGTGGGCCACACACGGGGGCAACCCTTCTCCAGGAGGGCTGTTGGTGAGGAGGGTGTCATGGGGGGAGGCAAGGCTGGGGCAACGGCACGTGTGCCCACAGAGAGGACTCCGAGTGTCGCCTCTGGCACCTGTGCCATAGGTTCACCACCACTGATCTAGGTGCTTGGCATGTATGTACACAAACTGTCCCAGACACATTTCCAGTATTTCTTTTTCTCAGATGAAAATAAAGGCCTCTCTGGAGATTAAAAATTGCAAAAAAAAAAAAAAAATCATTTTGCCAAGTCGGGGGCAACTCATGTATTTCAATGCTGAAAATCCAGACCTTCCTGAACTGTTAATAGCTCTCCAACAGCATCTACATTTCTTTCTAGCTATGCTCATCACTTTTAAAAGTGCATTTTGAGAAAGAAAGAAAGAAAGAAAGAAAGAAAGAAAGAAAGAAAGAAAGAAAGAAAGAAAGAAAGAGAGAGAAAGAAAGAAAGACAAAATGCATTTTATAATAACAACAGGAAACAGATTAACAGATTAATGACATTCCATTTCTGAAGCACCCTTTCAAGAGGATATTCACAAGAGGTTCAAATAACAAAAACATGGTAAAAATAGATTGGTCTATGAGGTATGCACAATTTCTTCAACACTTCATGACATTGCAACTCTTTTTGCAGTGTACTTTTCCTTTTCTTGTGTCACAATACAAGATCTCTCAGATAGTATTCAAAAGATTTTTTTTTAAAAAAAAAAAAGGAAAAAAGCTACTAAACAGGTATCATGGGGCAGTCACAATACCATAGCCAGGGCTGTGAATTATGTTAAACAGATCCAGCATAATTAATTACAATACAATTTGAATTGTGCAGATGAAGGATCTCTACCACAAGACTTGCAGTACAGACTACTGAAGAAAGAGTTGCTAAAGATTTGGAGTTTTAACTACAGTGCTGAATACTACCGGTGATAAAAGCATTCTCTGCTACAGATATTCACCTCTTATGGCTGCACAACTGCATTTCCTGTTAAAATGCTGAATTTGCTGACATAGGTATGTTGAAGTCTCCCCCTTTAAAAAATATGGACAATTCTTAAAATATATCATTCGGTCACTATATTGTTGATCCTTTCTTCTAGTGGAGTTTAAAATCCTTCCCCAAAAGGAGAGAAAGTCCATCCAATATGCTCCTTTCTACTGGCATATTCATATTTGAACACATAACATGATGCATTCTGTAAAGTACCCAAGTTCCTCACTGTGTCCTTGTGTCCCATTCATTCACCTTTTAAAATAGGCATTCATAAAAATACTGAAGAATGCAGTACCACATACCACCTGACAAAAATGCAAATAACTGTACAAGAACTAGCCACAAATTGCTAAGAGTCATATCTCGGGAAACAACTTCTGTCTGTCCTTGCAGAGGAGGAAATGTTCCTGAAACAGAAGGGAAAAAAAAACATTTTGTGACAAGTTCAAGCTACCTTTCTGGATTTTTTCTCCATATCAATGGAATTAACAAGAACTCAGGGCACACCAGATATAACTCTGGCTCTCTTTTATAATCATCAGTACATTAGGAAGCAATTGTATTAACCATCTGCAAACACTTTCCTATCTGTAGTAAATATTGTTTATATATCTTAGTAATGTTTATTCCACTAAAGCTAATTAGTTTTACCAACATTTTGCTATCAAATCCTAGTCAAGCAATGGAAAATGAATGTATTTTTATTTAATTTCTGTTGGGTAAGCATTGGGGTTTAGCTTCACCTCTGATTAGCATCAGAGCTGAATACCTTGAGCTTGGGATAGGGCAGTAGTGGCGAACCTATGGCATGGGTACCAGAGTGGCACTCGGAGCCCTCTCTGTGGACACACGTGCCATTGCCCCAGCCTTGCCTCTCCCCACGACCCCATCCTCTCCAGTAGACCCCCTGAAGGAGACTCGCCCTTGAGCGTGGCCCACACGGAGCAGCGCAGTCAGGACATGGCAGCCAGGCAGCGTAGACAAGACTCTGCCTTCACACCTCATCATGCAGTTGATGCTGCAGGGCACGGGCAGAGGGTGTGGCTGTCACAGCGCTGGTGGGTTGACTGGATGATCTGCGGAGGGCCCTGAAGGCGGTGAGTGGGCCTGTGAACAGCCGGGGCGGAGGATGGGGGGCAGAGCGGGGGCGGGCAGAGGGTGGAGCGGGGGCGAGGCCAGTTTTTGGGCACTCAGTCTCTAAAAGGTTCGCCATCACTGAGATAGGGTTTCCTCTTCAAAGAAGGCATGTCATACAATGTATTTCCAACCCACATAGACAAAGGAATCAGAGTAACTTCAATAGTTTTGCTTATCAAGAAACTGTTTTGCTCACAAAGCAAGACGCTGTATCAAATCTAACCGGAAGTGCTCTAGATACAGTTTGCATTTTTTTAAAATTAAAGCAAAGATGACAGCATTTCTGCAATGAAACAGCATGGTGAACTAGTATTTAAATGTAAGATTAATGTATTATATACGTTTATTTGAATAATAACATTGCTCAATATCACCAAGTGTCATCTTCTCTTAACAAAACTTTAAATGTTCATGGCAGCAAGAGAATCACAGGACAACTCTCAACAACTGTTATTTTTTTAGCCACCTGAACTTTTTTAGACAAATTTACAAGCTATGAAATAACTCATGGTTTCTACTTCTTCTTTGATTAGGCATTGTCAACAAAAGTCTAATGGACATCAAAGACTTAACAAATTTATTGTACAAAACCTTTAATGTCCATTTTACAAGTATATATTATCTCAAGAAAGGAGACTAACCCAAACACATATCCATTGCTTGGCAGATCAACAAAATGAGAATATAAATAGGAGTTGTGTATCATGACAGCAACATCTACATGGATTAAGAAATAGTTATTGGTGTTACACAGACAATTCTTATATAGTACCTGTCTTGTAAAAGTGTGACAAAAGACCCTCCTTTTCAATGAATCGTTGATATAACCAAACAGTAAGTGTTTCAGGATCAATGGGTACATCCTTAATTGGAAAAATTCTGCATTTAAAAAAAAACAGAAAAGTAAATTAGATGTATGAAATATTTTTATTTTGTAAGATGAATTTCATTTTTGCTTTGAACTCCATCAGGATTGAGTATGTTTCAATATTTACAATTTATTTTTTAACAAAATCTAATATTTATTAATATTATTCAAAGGATACATTTTTTAAAAATCACCAATTATTGGGGCAGTTGAACTATCGAATAATAGTTATTCTTCAATTTAATTTAAGAAAATAGACATTAATTCTGAGTTTCAGTTCAAACTCTAGCATCTGGCCTATATTTCACTAAGAGCTGTAATTTATACCTTCAGAGACCTCTGCATTTTGTAAACATAAAACTGATTTAAATCTTGTACTAAATATCTCTTGTCTAGATTCTGAAAAAGAGTATCAGCAATTAAATATTCATAACAATAAATATGTAATAAATATAAAAGGGCTGATAACAAGAACCTGAACCTCAAAACTGATAATCTCTGAAATTTTTCTAGCTCTGATTTTATTTTCTATTTGCCTTGGTTTAGGAAGACAAGTACTATAAAAGAAAAATTAATATACACAATACTATCTCTGCCTAATGCTTTCATGTTATATTATATTTATATGATTCAGACATGGTGAAACTTGAAAAAATTATGCCATTTGCTACTTGTGAACTTTTGTGTTCTGTGTCACATTTTTCTTTTATTTTTCTTGACAAAGATATGATGGAATAGCTACTTAATTTTATATAAATTAGAAATTTGAGAAGCTCTCGGCTTGAAAGCACCAACCTCATTATATACAATGTCTCTTATTCTTAATTTTGTTTAGTTTCGTTGAGAGCATCCTGGCTCTGCGAATCTGGGTTCTTACATGCATTATGCACAGTCTTATGGCTGTACATTCTTACATTCTACTTCCTATCTCAGAAGGGCTCATCACTGGGGTACTGTTGCAATAAGCCCAGTACCAGAAATGCAGGATTTATGCTAAAAAAGAAATAACAAGCCTTCAAAAGCAAGAATAAGTTTAAGAAAATCAATATTAGATTAATGGAATCAATTAAGTCAAGTTAACATAGAAAGGTATAAGGATACTGACTTTTGAACCACAATGTTATCTTATTATAAAATTCTCATAGATTTGAAAATGAAAGATGTTTTCTGTTTGGCATCTGGCATTCCCAAATTGACCTCTCTTCTTGATTTATAGAAGACGCTTTCCTCTCATTTTTATTGCTTTATTCCTCAATTTTGGTTTCCTGAAAATAAGCAGGCCAGGAAGTAACTGAGATCCATTACCTATAGTAATTTAAGATCCTTTACCTATGAATATGTATGCTTACATTGTCTGCAGCTTATGTATTAGTTTCCCCTGTCTTTCTGACAGGCAGACAGACCTTTATTGGGTGGAGTCTCTCTCAATATTCTTTGGAAGGAATCCCACCAGCATGTGCTGTTTAATAAGCACTTCAATAAGCCTTGGTTATTTCTTTTGGGTCCTGCATTTTGATTCCAAACAAGTAAAACACATCCCATCCTTCTGTAACCAGTATATTGAAACTTCTCCCTCAATCTGCAAAGCAAAGATTTTCTCTTTATTGCCTAGTAAAATACTGGAGAGTGGGGAAAAAATCTTCCATGCAATAAAAACCCAAGGTTTTTTAGATGTTACCATAATAGCATAGTTCTCAGAAAAACAGTTTTATTGCCCCAATACAAAAAAGGTAATTCACTAAATGAAATATTTCCTGTTCATTTGAACCATTACATATCTGTTTTACTCATTTCACTGCCAATTTCTGATTCTCATCATCCTTGCCAGGAAGATACTGAAAAGTAATGAAGTAGCTGCTTTTGTTAGTAAGCTCTCTAATGCAAGTGCTTCTGGGCTTCTCTTATGCAAGACTACTGAGCACTTTGTTGTTAATTGCGAAGTCGTGTCCGACCCATCGTGACCCCATGGACAACGTTCCTCCAGGTCTTCCTGTCCTCTACCATCTTCTGGAGTCCATTTAAGTTCACACCTACTGCTTCAGTGACTCCATCCAGCCATCTCATTCTCTGTCGTCCCCTTCTTCTATTGCCCTCAATCTTTCCTAGCATTAGGCCTTTCTCCAGTGAGTCCTTCCTTCTCATTAGGTGGCCAAAGTATTTGAGTTTCAACTTCAGGATCTGGCCTTCTAAAGAGCAGTCAGGGTTGATCTCTTCTAGGACTGACCAGTTTGAACGCCTTGCAGTCCAAGGGACTCACAGGAGTCTTCTCCAGCACCATAGTTCAAAGGCCTCAATTCTTTGGCGCTCAGCCTTTCTTATGGTCCAACTTTCATACTGAGCACTAGCCTTCTGTTAATACTAGGAAGTGGTGATCTAAGACTTAGATATTCAGAAACATCTTTCATAATCAGATCTGTTTGTATTGTCCCTTTTGTTGGTATGATTCTTTATCTCTAAAGCCTTTCTAGTCTACTTACAATGCAATTTATTATGCTGAAAAGTTTTTCAAGTTATAGAATAAACTATATTAGTGCACACTGTGTTATATTCCAAATGTATCCTACTTTGGGAGAGGCAGTTTGAAGGTACCACTGATCTGTTATCCCAAAGGTGTTTTTTTTTTTTAGGAGGCAACTGGACTTTCTTGTTTTTCTTTAGATAGTTCCATATACACTCTTCCTTAGACACTCATCTGTTAAGTCCAATCTATTGCTCATTACAGGAATCTCAATAAAAGCATTCTCATGTCAGAAAAAAATTAACACAGAACCATAGAATTGGGACATGACTAATATAGAGTATGTTTTGTTCATTGAGGAAATAACATGTTTGCATGTTTAATTGGAATACAGCATCATATTTTGCTACTTAATGAACACGATTGTGAGTTTGCTGCTATGCCAGGGATACTGCAGCACACAGTTTAGGAACCTTTAAGAGCATTGTGAACTGACAAACTTTGCAACATCTGCGGTAGGGTATAATAACCAAATCTTGAAAATTTGCTGATGCTTCCCTTTGCCCCATTGCACCAAAAGGAATCAAAGTGGAATTATTTTAAGTCTCTTTCTCAGAGACTTCTCCTTTCCCAGGACTCAGTAGTTTATTGATACTTAATGGCTCTCCTAACAGCTCTTGCACAACCTTGACAAAGCTATCCCTGCACTCCTCTACAAAGACATGGAGTCTGGAGACAACTAAGAGTCCATCTCAGTGTTATTTATCTATAGATGTCACACTGGGACCATATATAATAAAACACAATAATGACTGCATTTCAAATACCGTAAGTTCTATTTATTTATTTTCTAATAGCTAGTAGTACACAGTCATGGTAAGTTTTGATTTAACTACAATTTCAAGATCCTTTTGACATATAGTTACTAAGCCAAGTATTATATATTTGATATCTTTCCATTTGATTTATTTGTAAGAACTCTGAATTGGTTTCTATTAAATTTCATCGTTATTTTCAGTCCACATCTCTTGCCTTAGCTTACCAATGTAATTTTGAATACTGTTTGCCATTTTCTAGAATATTAAATTGTGCCACCCAGTTCAAACTATTAAAAAATGTGTTAAAGAATATGTGACCAAAACTGAATACTGTAATACCATCTGGAGTTTACACCAATTTATTTATTACTATAATACATATACCACTTTATTTCCAGAGACTCAAGCAGCTTAAAGACTGAATATATGAAAATAAAGAATAAATCTAAATAAAACCAATACAACACCATTTGGGTTACATGATCTTATTCATCTCATCTGAAGAACCATGATTTTATAGCTCTCTGAAAACATAGTGTGTATTGGGGGGGAGGGAGGAGGTAACTGGATATCTAGGGGAAAATGGCTCCAAAGAAAGGAGTCCATTGCTAAGAAGACTTCAATAAAATCCCTGAAAAATGTATCTCCTTGTTGGTGGGAGTCTCAGCAGGCCTTCTCTTCCACTTTTCACTGGACAGGAAAATTCAACTTAAGGAAAGTGGTTGTTGAGATAGACAATTTGACAAAGAAGTTGCTGATGAGAACACTGACTACATTTTCAGGACAGTTTAATCAATGTCCCACTACCCTATGTTCAATTAGCTTGCCAATCAGAATATCATGGAAATTATAAAGGCAGGATGCATACACACACACACTGCCTTTATTATAATAAATATATACCAGTAATTATTACGTTAAATGCTTTATGAAGTCCATAGCACTACCAAAAGAAAGCCTGCTCAGAGTATCTGATCTGATCGGACTTATTCTTGGTAAATCCAGGGTGAATTTCAATTAATCACAACATTGTTTTGAAGTGTTTTCTTATTTAACAGTTTATAATCTGTTTTATAATCTTCCAAAGATATGAGACTGACTGCAGTATAATTCCATAATATCTTATTTGTCCCATTTTTAATGACAGGGACATTTGCTGTCTTCCATCGTGTAGAAGAACTTCAAGTATTTGGCAGGATTTTTCACAAATAACAGACACATATCCATATGTTATATTATACCATGATTTAGCATTACATCAACTTACTGAAATCAATCTGTACAAAAGCTTTGGACCTGCTCCCTCTCCTCCACTCTTATGGGAAAAATGGCTTTTTCTACCACTTAATTTCATTTTATAGAATCCTGGCTTATTTCTTACTGCCGTTTATCACTTCTGCCCACTGCTGAAACATACCGTACTTGTTTGAAATGGTGTTCTAAAATAGGGTTTATTTGACTTCGTAAGAATCTGAACAGCATACTAGAAAAGCAAAATTGAAACTAAATGCTAGCAGAACTCCTCTGGATTCATGGGAAAAGAGTAGTAAGAGAAATGGAAGCCTCAAGTGCAGTGGTGATTCATTCCAGCTCATAAAGGTGGCACTAAGAAAATCTTCCACAATTTTGTACTAAAACTGTTGAATTACAACTCACATTATCCCCAGGTGAAAAAAATCAGTTCTTAGATGAGTGGAATTAATTAAATCAAGTTGTTATATTGAGATATAAGGCATATCTCATCCCATATATTTACAAGAGTAATATTTTTCTTTGTGGTGACTTGCATTCCCAAAATACCCCCTCCTCTTGAGTTATGGGAGATGTTTCCCTCCCTGTTTTATTACTTTTTTGCTTAGTAACCTCAACTCATTTGCTTACAGTAACTTGAGGTCTTTTACCTATTACGTACATTATCTGTTATATATGCATTAGTCTCTCCCACCTTTCTAAGGTATAAATATGAGTGTCGCACCAGCATGTGCTGTCTAATAAAACACTGCAGTAAGCCTTGATTATTTGCTTTTGGTCCTGCATTTGATTTCACACCAACCCTCTCAAATGTTGGCAGAAAAGTGATGGAACATGTAATCCTGTATTTTATAAGACATCAGGAAGAAGAAAACTATGATTTAATGTCAAGTGCTAACCAGCCTATTTTTAAATCGCTGTACTGTAAGTTGCAGAAACTGTCAGCACTGAAAAGAAATTTAGGGAAAAGAAACTCACTCCTTTCCATATTCTCCCCATATTATTGAATTAGTGAAAACAAAGCTGAAAAAGAGATACACCTAGAAACACAAATAGCATTTTTTTTTTCTTTTTTTTTTTTACACAAATAATTATTCTCGTGGTATTTCAAGTTGTTTAGCTGAGAGTTGGATTATTGGCAGTTCATTTTGGTTAAGAAGATTTAATTTACCATCCTCACGAACTTTCTTGCTTTTGCAATAAATGTTAAATATAGCCTAAGAAAATAAAGGTGCTCTCTGTGGTCTTGTATGTCTTTGTTTAAGGCAGAAGCAACCAGCAAAAAAATGACATCTGAATATACACAGGATCATCTTGTTCCTACCTGAATTGGCGGAGCCTATTAGATCATCTAGGAAAAAACAATTCCAAATATCCAAGAGAGGAAACAAAGGGAGCTAAAACAAGAAAGTGCTGCTTTCCAGGGCAATATGAAACTTCTGGAGCAATATCCTTGCAGAGATCAAGATTATGCTCTCCCTGAGTGCATTCAGGATGTTGCAGAAAGAGCTGTTCCAGGCAGGGTTTTAATCTGTTGGGGTGTCCTTTTGTTTTATTCTTGTTTTGTACTTACTTAACTCTTAGGTTTTCTTTTTGTGTTTGTGAGCTTATCACAGATGTTTTAAATATGTTTTCTACTACATATACTAAAGCCTAATCATATATAAATTTATATATGGAGGGGCTCTCTCTTTAAGCTTACTAGTTTGGACTTGGGACTGTAACTGATTAGTTGCATACTTACAGCAATCAGGATTAAAAGTATACTTTCCAGCATTTCCAAATGCAAAACTGCATGCCCAAAAATTAAAACATGCAGTGTAAAGCTGCTTATATTTCTATACAAGTGTATGCTCTGAGATGTTCCACTAGGAAAATTTCAAATCCAGGTCTCTTAAAATGAAGTGAAGACAGAAAGTGCATTTCATACCTGTAATGTACATGAGTAATTGTTGGCCGCCTGTAGCCAAGAATCCATGTCTGAATGTCTAAGGGCTCAGCTTTGGGATATGCAATAGTTGTATCTATCACCCACTGAAGACCGTTTGATTTACTTTCTAAAAAAAAAAAATATAGAGGAAAGAAAACCAGGAAAACAACACTTTAAATCACATATACCATAATTCTAATGTAACATTTCATTAATGTTAACATGCTAATAATTCATCCCTAAAAATACCAAATCTTATATACTATATTCAAAATGTTTATTTCTTCACTTGGCCAACAAATGGAGAATTCTCTTAATCTCCAAATTGCTACCTACATACATTGGCTAATTTTAATCAGTACTACACATCAAATCCTGGATATAAAAAAATTGTCCTGATTTCTTTATAAACCATGAAGTAAATCAATACTGTAATGTGAAAGAAAAATGTTTGCCATTCAAATGCTTTAAACATATGGTTGTTTATGTTTTTATTAGTAAATTAGATTATTACATTTGCTTGCTGCCCATCTTAAAGCAACTCCATATTAATGGAGTTGTTCTAATATCAAATTTAAATAATAATAATATAGTAGCTAAAATATGATTTTAAAAAATCCATGAGCACTGGATGTGCATTATTTGGTATTCTTATTCTATCAAAAAGTGAATGGCTAATAAGCCAAGCACTTAACTCAAGCTATAAACACTAAGTGCTAAATGTATGTTTGTGTACTCTTTCCAGGCAAAAGAACTGACATCAGGCCAATGAGTAACTTTAAAGTGCTTGCAATTTCTAGTGTCACTAGCTTAGCTCTAAAATCTATTTTCAGATCCAATTTCTACACAGGAATATACAAGGTTAGGTTCTGGTATTAAGATTTCATGAACTAGAACTTCCTTTCTCTCACTTCTGTTTGCAAGAATATTCTTGCAGTTCTTTAATATGCATGGTCCTTTAGTAAATATGGCTTTGACACAGAGAACCTTATGTTTAATAACTGTTTAGAACAAAGCTGATTAATGTAAATGATATACGGTATTTCTTAATAACTGTAATATTGTAATCTACATTCCACTTAAATCAGCATTTTCATTATCACCTATAAGGTAATTAGACAGAAAACTTTACCTTTTACCTACATCACCTTGCAAGTCCTAGAAGGGTGGAGTTGACCCAGAACCTGTTGCTGACCCAGAGCTTATTGTTGGGGAAGATATAAATAAAGGTATGCAATAAAGTATTGTATACCGGTTTGCTATACTGTGAAGTGTCAAGTCCTTGGAGAGCAAAGAAGCGGGGCTATAAACATTCCTCAAATTGAAATTTTCATGAATATTCTTGTCATAACTTGAGTATAGTTATTTCACCACACCAGTGTTAATAGAACTAATGTAATGCCTTAACAACAGCTACAAAATCATTTATTTTTATAGTTCAGAATAGATACATTAATCTCCTTTATTAATACTGGAACTGCTACTGATTTTCTGAAAACCTCTGTTCCTGCAGTGCCCAATGACCAAATGCCTATTCAATACAAAAGCCAATTCTGGACTCTCTGAGAGACTGGGTCTGCTGTGCCCCTTTAAAAATGTTGGCAGTGGATAGCAGCTCAACAATAAATTAGAGGAGACAGGCATTATGGAGATTTGTGCAGAAATTCATTAAAATACAATGAAAATTCACATGGAGTTACCCACTCTAATTTAAGTATTATAAGTACTTTAGAAACTTTTCAAAATTAAATAATATACAGCCCAAATGTTGGAGATGTGGCAATAAAGATGCGACATATTTTCATATTTGGTGGAATTGTAAAAAGGTAAAGGCTTTTTGGATTATGATTTGGTGGAACATTCAAAAGATTTTTAGAAGGAAGATAAAGTTCACTCCTCAACTATTTTTATTGGGTATTTTTGTGGACTTAAATGATAAAGAAACTATTTTGATGTTGAATTTATTAACTGCTGCAAGGTTATTAATAGGTTTATACTGGAAGAAAGATTCTTTGCCTACTTTAGAAGAATGGGTATTTAAAGTATCTAGTTTTGCAGAAATGGCAAAAATTTCTGCTTATTTAAAGGATCATACACAAGAAAGATATATTACTGTATGGAGAAGATGGATAGATTATATTCAGAAAAAGTATGGAACTAAAAAGTTTCATTTATTTTATGAATGAATATTATAGTAAATATTATAGAGAATTTTCTTATAGGTTATTGGAGTTAAGGTTAAGTATGATATTTTCTTTTCTTTTTCTTTTTTCTTATTATTATAAATCTTCTTATTAACCCTGTATTCTGCTCTGGGAAGTGAAGGGAGGGGGGTTGGGGGTGGGAGGGAGGAAATGTGGGGGGGTAAGTGTAATATAGATAATGGTTGCTTATAGGGGTGCGGCCTGGGCACTCCCCTTCAGGATCATCTGCATTTTCAACTATCATACTAATAGCATCAACAGTACTGATGTTTCTTCCTCCAATTTTAAAACAACATATCTTCTTCCGATTCAGTTTCTTCTCAGTATATTTTCAACACATAAACTGAACAAATAAACCACGTCTCCCTTCTTTGCCAATTTGGACTTATCCTATTTCATCATGTTCTGTCTGGATAATGGTTACCTGACCTGTATATAGATTTTTCAGATTTTTCTAGATTTTTGTAGATTGGATGTTCTGAGAGTCTCATTTTCCTAAGGACATCCCACAGCTTGACATAAATACTCTGCGGCTTTTTCAATTACCAGCATTTATCAGCAAAGACATACTTGTTATCCTCAGACTTTTCTAAGCCACTTTGAACATCTGACATCTCCTTTTCCATGCAGGGCTCTAATCTTCATTGGATTATCTTGAGCTTTTTTTTAACTAGCATACAAAATAAGGATATTGTATGATCGTATGGAGTCATGGTGCTGCAGTGTTTAGAATGCAGTATTGCAGGCTACTGCTGGCTGCCGGCTGCCAGCAGTTTGGCAGTTCGATTCTCACTGGCTCAAGGTTGACTCAGCCTTCCATCCTTCCCAGGTTGGTAAAATGAGACCCAGATTGTTAGGGGCAATATGCTGACTCTGTAAACCGCTTAGAGAGCACTGTAAAGCACTATGAAGCGGTATATAAGTCTAAACACTATTGCTATTACTCTTCAGACAGGAAGACAGTGCAGAGAGTGGTGAGGATGGCAGAAAAGATTATTGGTAGTTCATTTCCTTCTATCCAGGACATAGCATATAAACGATGCTTGAGCAGGATCTACAAGATTATCCGGGACACTACACATCCTCTTTACAACCTGTTCTCTTTGTTACCTTCTGGGATGTGGCTTTGTGGTATCTGAAGCAGAACATCTAGATTCAATCACAGTTTTGTCCCATATAGCATCAACCTTTCTTTTCAGATCTGATGCCTTAGTTTGGTTAGAACCTTTACTAATTCATCTCCTATTGTTTGCTATATTTCTATAGATATACCATTAATTGCTACAGTTTTCCACTAGTGACTTTTAGCATGTCCATTCAATGTTGAAAACTCCTTCTGTGTTGGGAGATCTTTTGGAAGTGCATCCTTGCTTTTCTGTGTCAACGTGATGTAAGCCACTCAGTCACCTGAACTGCGAGATAGACAAATAAATTTGATAGATTAAACAGATCCATAGATCAATAGAGATAGAACACTTTTATTTTCTTTATTTGTTTACAGATGTTGTTTTAATACTGTTTCTTGTCTCTTCTACCTGGTCTCTAAAATTCTTTAAGTTCTTCCACCATTTGTTTTGACATACAGTTTGCTTTCTTCTGCTTCTTGGTGTTTTGTTGCTCTTCACACTTATCCTTAATAACTTTTTTATTTCATTCCACACTTCCTTTGGTTTCCTAGCAATGAAGTTCAGGACTTCAAAGCAACTTAAGTTCTCCTTGAAAATGCTGGGTATATCATCAATATCATAGTATGGAAATAGGCTGGTTTTACTGTTTACTTTAGCTAGATTTGGAACCTGAACAAAAACAGTTTATGATATAGTCAATTTGATTTATGCATATTCTGGCGATGTAGGCATCATTTCAATCACCATTGGAAAATAGAAAAGAATGACTTTCTCCTGCTTCTTTTCTGTTTCCTAGGCCATACAGTCCAACTATATTTTCCTTCCTAACATTTCCAACTTTGGCATTCCAGTTTCCAACCATAAGCAACACATGTTCTGTTGATTTCAGATTGCCCTTGACCATAAACTTAATCAACCTTCTTTTCTTCTGTACCAGTGGTAGATAATTATAATATGAAAAGGTTGTCTGCAATATCTAATTGATGCTATCTGATCACTGAATGTACTGTGCCTAAGCGCTATCTCTGTTATATCTTTCTTAATATGAAAGCAACACAATTTCTTTTTTATTTTTTATGTCCTGACCACTAAACAATATGGTCTTCCTGATTCCCACTATAAATGTGTCTTTGCAGGTTTGGATTTTCTTTTCCTGCATGGTAATATCATCAACTAGACATCCAGAAGGTTTTCTTCTAGCCACATCCTAAAAACCTTTAGTACTCTGAAAGATCCTCAGTAATTCCTCGGAAGCATGTTGAGTACCATAAGTCTGAGAGACTCAGCATCTAGCACTATATCACCAACATTTTAACTTGTCTGTGTGGTTTTTAAAAAATACAGGTGTGGCTTACCATCTGCCTTCTTCCATATAATATGAAATGATACCTTTGCTGTTGTCACCAAAGTAATAATCCAATCCCAGCATTTTCTTATATTGCTGCTGCTTGGTATAGGTGTCAACTCTACAACAAACCTGGATAAAGCCATCTTGCTTATTCTAGAATGGGAGGGGGGAAGTGGAGGTTTTCTAATAATCAAAGCAATTCTCTGTCCCATGGGAACCAAGGTCATTTCAAACAGTCAGATTAGGGAATTGGGTATACTGTTAGAAAGCTTGCTAAACTATTCTATTGGGAAACGTAGTTGATTGAATAGTTTTGGTATGGGAAGTTTAACTTTATAATAGTGTAACTCTTTGGAAGGAATTTCAAACTTGGTTTCACTTTTGATTGTGCCAATACTTTGTAACCAATAAACGTGTACTTTGAGGACGCCTCTAGCCTTAGAGTTCTGATTTACTTGGTCTCATCTATCAGAATCATGGCAATAGGTTCCTGTCTGTTTAGCTGGACAACTCAAATAACATTCACACCTTGAGTAACCTACTAGGTGTGTATTCTCTTGGTGTAATCTTTTAAAATTTAGCACAGCAGGATGTGAAGGTATATGATTGTTTAACTACTATTAAATATGATAATATGATAATAGTATGAAAATATTGATCACATTGCAAGCATCTTTTCTAACATTTGCCATATAGATATCTCAATGAATATGGCAAATAAAATCCAGAGATTAATTAGAGTTTCAGGAAAAAGCCCAGTAATGGCTTTATCTATTCAAAATGTTATAGACAAGAATGATTTAATATTATAGTAAACTATAATGAAAACACAATTGTTAATGACAGCAAAAACTGGGCAAAGAACAGGCTGGGCAAGATTGCTATGACTGCTGCTGTTTCTATAATAGAGGTAGTCCTTGATGTACAACTGTAATTGCGCCTGAAAGTCATGAGGGTCATTAAGTGGGTCACCATGTGACTACATCTGATTTATGATCTTTTTTGCTGTGGTTGTTAAGCAAACAACACAACCGATTATATTGGTTAATGTATCCGTTTTAAATTAATCAATGGGCTAATTTTGCAAGAAACTGGAAGTAAACACTCATTTCTAGCAAAAAATATTGTAAATCACACTGATATGACTGCTAGGCACTGCAAATGGCCATAAATGTGGGCTGGTTGCCATGTTCTGGAAGATTCCTTTGACTCTTGAAATACTACTTCATGGTGATGGTAGGGGACTCATAGATCAAGTTGTAAGAGATACACAATTCTGAAGATATTAGAAAAATAACTAAGTTTTCTCTTTAGCAGTTATCATAAAGTTCAGCTATTGTCCCAGCCCACGGAAGACCTATAGATCTGAATCATCCAATGACATCTCAGGAAAAAGAAAAAAGATAAACATATTTATTTTTCAGACAGATATTCGTCAAGAAAAACTATAAATGAAGGGGCTAGTATGTTTAAATGACTCTCAGTTTAGTTACTTGAAGAAAATACAAATTTGTATCTATTTCAGAGACTGCTCCTAATAAGACTCTTACAGTTTTCAGTGTTGCTCCTCTTGAGAATTTTCCAAGTTCTTGCTTCCTCTCAAAGCAAACAAATTAGCCTATAGAGATTTGAATGGAACCCTGCAGAGTGCAGGATGCATGTATCTACTTCACTGAACAGGTCATTTGTCCTTTTACAGTTTCTTGCAGTCAGAGGCTGCCAAGAACAATAGTTTGCCTTCATATTTCATATGAATACACCACGAAGCACAATGTAAATACAAATCCTCACAACACCCCCATGGTCATGTGATTGCATTTTCGGTACTCAGCAACTGGCCACATTTACAGGCATTTGCAGTGCACTATGGTCATGTGACTACAATTTATGATGGTTTGCTGAAAAACAGTGTTTACTATTGGTGTTTGGTAAAAACCACCCCATAGTGAACAATAACAACCACAACTTTGCTTAATGACTATGACATTTGCTTAATGAGTGCCGCAAAAAATACTGTAAAATCAGGTCTAGTTCCATGGTGATCCACGTTATGACCATCACAATTTATGTCGATAATTGCAAGGGTCAATTACAGTCATAATTTGAGGATTACTTGTATTTTGTGGCAAATTTTGTTCCTAAGAAAGAAAGACAATGAACAAGTATTATTTTCGTAATGGTTTACACTGAAAATCATATAGGGGTCCATAGAAATGTGTGACCCTCAAAAATTGATCCCAGAACTGAAACTGGGCAGTTTGGTGTGTTGGGCCTTGGTTGTAATAAGCTCCAGTTGAGGTTTGCTTCAATGAAAACCATTCTCTGGATCCCTTTCTTCCTACAGTACTTCAATCACAGAAGATGCAGCAAACAATTTTATAAACTTATTCCAGGCAGCTTTGACTCTGCATGTGAGACTAAGATAGTCTGAATAGAGTTTACGTTCTGCAAGTTTGCCATTGAACTATGAAGTGTAGATGTTGTTATTTCTAGATGAATATGAGCTCCTAAACTGACTAAATTTGATCTAAATGGAAGATTATTCTTACAGTGGCCTAAGTGGAAGTATTCTGATCTTCTGGTATTTGAATAACAGAAGAAAAAACCAAAGAAGCAGTGCCAGCATTTGCACCAAACTCTTGGGCATGGTCTCTACTAACAGATTTTATTAGTTCATCCTGTTCCAGTAATTGCTATTTGGGTAGCCACGTTCCCCGATGGCAAAAGATTCACTCTATAAGACCCCATGGACTTGCAACAGTCTGAGACTGGAAGGGAAATTGTCAGCAAAGACTACCTGCCTTAAAATTCGTCCTATTAAGCTTCAGAGAAGATCATTAGGGCTATTGCTTCCCTCTGTTAACTTCTTTCATTCCCTCCATTCCCCAGAAGGACTGAGAACAATCTTTCACCCAAGGAAACAGTACAGGGAACTTCTAACTCAGAGGTCCCCAACATTTTGGGCACCAGGGACGGGTTCCATGGAGAGAAGTTTTTCCGTGGAGAGGGTGTGTGGTTTGGTGTGCTGCCTGCATCTCGCAGATAGGGCTTTGCTTGTTTGTGCAGACCGGATGCTGGCATGCCGCAACCCAGTACCAGTCCATGGACCGGGGGTTAGTGACCCCTGCTCTAACTATTATGCTGCAGATGCCAAGGGTGGTCCCTAAAAAGAGCTACATGGAAAACTGCCTTTGTAAGTTCTGTTGAAGATACCATTCAGATTCCAAATCACCTGGTATAAAGATGATCTTGATGGAAATATGCAAGAATCATTACCTAGGCAAAAGAAGCCAAAATACTTTTCAAGTCCAGAGTCCGGCGATATCATTTGGAAGCGGCTCAGGGAGATGCCTCCTAATTCACTGAAGTACAGAAGAGGAAGGAGGTACAGCACAATCAGCCTTGCAAGATTCTGTTAATATTGCCAATCTCAGTAAAGGTAAGTTTTAGCCTTCCTCTGGAGTTGATTTTCTGATTTGGGGCTGACATTCATCTGTCAGAAAGCTTTCCTGAAGTACCTAAGGAGTTACTCAAGACTTCAGAGGTCAATAGCAATAAAGAAAATTAAAATGAATTCAAAAAAGGAATTGTTTTGGTAACTTAATAATGCTGCACAGCTTTCTGTAAATGATAAATTTACAGCATACCAAAATGCTAATTTATACAAATTGTTGTGTAACAAATTACACAATACAATACAGAATAAAACCTCAGACTACTTTTAAGATTCTGATCAGATAGCAGCTCTTTCATAAATATTCAAAATGTTTCATACCTGATACAGGAACCTTTTCACCCGTCAAAGTTCCATTTTCTTGCTGAGCTACCAGATTTTTCAGTATAACTTGTGTGGCTCCCAGTCTTGGCAGTGTGACATATGTAAGAAATGGCAAATTGTTTTTCTTTGCAAATGCCTGACTGGTTTCTCTTCTTTTTCTAAGAAAGCCACCTTCTGGAAACAATACAATCCACTTGCGACTACGGCTCCTGTAATATTTTTCTAGATGTTCATGGAGGAGTACAAGCTGCTGGTCACGATAAGCTTTTCCCTAAAATGGAAACGACAAAAAGAATACTTTATAAAATATCAGAATAATCTCTACTTTCCCACCCAAAGTAGTTATTTTTACTCAAACCAATGTTTCCAATAAATTGTGAATTTAGGAAATAAAAAAGTAAACATGAAATTAATATATAAATAAATATTTTTTCAGAACTTCAGTTTTCTTTATCAACAGCTAGGTTCATATATTACCACAAGGTATATAATATGCTTTGTTTGATTAGAACTTAGTATGAAGTATACCAAGTATGTATGGATTTTTAAATAAAATACAAAATAAGCCATGGCTTATTACTATATGATGAGGGGGTCCCCAGTACTCTCTGAGTTTTGTTGTTTTCTTACAGGTGTTTCATTACCCAAACTAGGTAACATCATCAGTGCCACAGTAGTAGGGAGTGGGTTTTGCTCTCAATTCATATTCTAGTGGCTTGCTCTGTCAATGTTGGTGGAGGTGGTCTTAAGAGGTTCTTTGGTTGGGCTGTTTAATGTTAGCTTGTTTTGCAGTTACTTGATTGGGGTACTGTTTACTTCTTGATTGTTAGTCTGGTATTAATCTTGGTGTTAATCTACAGTGCTCATGTGGGTGAAGTTATTTTTGTCTTTTTGTTCCCTTTTTAATTTGTTGGTTGTCTCCTTGCATAGTATGTAGATGTTATTTTTATCTATGTGGCTATTAATGGCTGGTTTGTCGGAGTGCCAGGTTTCCAATAATTCTCTAGCGTTTTTGGACTTGGCTTGGTATAGGATGGTCACAATTTTCCAGTTGAAACTATAGATAAGTCTGTCTATATGTTATGAAATTAAAGAGATTTTTTTCATCATTAAAGACATATACATATACCACTTCCTCTGTATATGTAGAGGTTATATATAACTCTTGTTTTTTCTTGTGGAGCTGCTCAATTTTTTGGTTTACTTAAGATGTTTTGGAGAGCTTTAGTTGATTTGTGTGCTATGCTGATGCCATGTAGTAGTAATTGTCTGTTAGTGGTTTCTGAGATGATTTTGATGTATGACAATGTTATCTGTCATGGTTCCGATGATAAGACCAACAAAATCAGAACTCTGAGGCTAGAGATTTCCTCAAAGAACATGTTTATTGGTTACAAAATATTGGCACAGTCAAAAGTGAAACCAAGTCTGAAATTCCCTCCAAAGAGTTACACTATTACAAAGTTAAACTTCCCAACCCAGTGCTATTCAACTGGCTATGCTCCCCAATAGAATAATTTGGTGGGCTTTCTAAAACCCCAACCCTAGAGTGGAATCAATAAAAGTTCATCTTCAGCAGTCTTGAGGGTGATTTTGTACTAAGGGATTGTCTCTGCCTGATAGAGATCTGCCAGGATTGTGATTCTCTCCTGCAGTACAACTTCCCAGGTTGGATTATCTGGTTCTTGGGCCGAGCCTCTGCCATCAGCACTTCCTCAGTGATCAGAGCAGCTGCTTGCGCTCTGATAGCCAAATCCCCGCTGTGACCAGTGGTGGATTCATCCTTCTTCTCCATTGCAGATTCTTCGCTGAGTCTTTGCCATCCTCCCCAAAATGGTGGGTAGGTGGCCAGGGCTCAGCACCCCAGGGAAAATAAGGTTTTGTAGGAGACTTGGTTTAATGTCATGGTTCTGATGATAAGACCAACAATATCTGAACTCCAAGGCTAGAGATTTCCTCAAAGAACATATTTATTGGTTACAAAATATCGGCACGATCAAAAGTGAAACCAAGTCTGAAATTCTCTCCAAAACGTTACACTATTACAAAGTCAAACTTCCCACCCCAGTGCTATGCAATCGGCTATGTTCCCAATAGAATAATTTGGTGGGCTTTCTAACAAAACACTCAACCCTCTAAGTGAGGGGTCCAAACTTGGCCCTTTTATGATTTGTGGACTTCAACTCCCAGAATTCCTTAGCCAGGCACACTGGCTGAGGAATTCTGGGAGTTGAAGTCCACAAGTCATAAAAGGGCCAAGTTTGAAGACCCCTGCTCTAAGCTAACTGATAGAATGACTTTGGTTCCCACGGGACTCAATATTGTTTAGACTAGCAAAAATACTCCGCACCCCCTCTCTTTCTTGTAGCAACCTAGAATGACAAGATGGCTTCAGCCAGGTTCGTTGTAGAGTTGACAGAATCCTTGTTATCGCTTGTGTTGATTGTGCTATATTGAACTGAATGGTCAGTGCTCAAGCATAAACATACTGCAGCAACTCAGAACAGCAGAAAAAGGAAACAGATCAGCTATACAACATCTTCCAACAAAATGGATATCCATGCAACTTCATCAAAATGTGCTGACCTCTTAACAAGCCAAGGGAACAAAAAGACCAAAACACCTCCCCGCCAGCAATCAACACTCAGATGAACATAGATTAACATCAAGATTAACTAACATCAGACTAATAATCAAGAAGTATTTTTTTTCTTTTTACAACCCTGTAATCCCTTGTTTCGGGGTGGAATCAGGGCGACTGAATGAAGCTGAGCTTTTTACTGGCCAGATGCCCTTCCTGATGCTTAAGAAAAGTTTGCAGCAGATATTTTCTCTTTGTGCCCTAATAGAGAAACATCTGTCACTGCCAAGGATTGAATTCTCAATCTTCTGAGTGGGAGTATCTTCACCTCTAGGCCACCTTGTTATTCAATCAAGAAGTACACAATACCCGAATCAAATAGCTGCAAAACAGGGTAACAGTAAGCACCCCAACCAAAGAACATCTAAGACCACCCCTACCAACAAGGCAAGCCTCTAGAATATGAATTGAGAGCAAACTCAACTCCCTACTAGCATTGATCATGTTATTTATTTATTTATTTATTTATGAGACTTATATACTGCTTTAAGTGCAAGCACTCTCTAAGCGGTGTACACCAGTAAGCAATGTATATATATATTTACATTGCCCCCAACAATCTGGGTCCTCATTTTACCTACCCCGGAAGGATGGAAAGCTGAGTCAACCTTGAGTCGGTGACATTTGAACCGCTGACCTGCTGAACACAGTCAGCTAAAGTGGCCTGCAGTACTGCACTCTAACTGCTGTTTGGGTAATGAAACATCTACAGTAGGGGTCCCTAACCTCTGGTCCGTGGACTGCCAGAAACCGGGCCACATAAACAAGTGAAGCCCCATCTGCAGGATGCAGGCAGCACACAAATCCACGCCGCCTCCGGTCCACAGAAAAACCTTTTTCCACAGAACTGGTCCCTGGTGCCTAAAAGGTTGGGGGCCACTGATCTACAAGAAAATAATATTGCTCAGAGAACACCATGTCAACCCTGAACTACAAAATATTTTTCTTTATTGATATATTGTATGATTTCATACAGTATTTGGATTAAGAGTATTATTAGAAATTAGATACAAAATTAAATCATGGAGTTGATCATTATTTAAGTAAGAAGATATTCATATATTTGTAGTTATAAACAACATATATCGTTAATAACATTAAAAAGAAAAGTGTGATTCCTGGGTATATTCATCTTCTAAGTGACCACAAAACACATGAGCACCAGGAATATTATAAAACTATAAAAGTTTAATACAATTAATCACCTAGCTTTCGTCGGCAGCTACTGACATCATCAGGGTACAATGTTAGTCGATGGGAGAGTTCATTTATAGGTAAAACGCTGCTTGCACCCGGCTCCTAGATCTCGTCACCAGTCCCAATTGGCTAAGCCGCGCTCTAGTTGTAACTTCCGTATCAGTGACTGTGCTTTTCTTGCATCTCCTGCCTACATGTGTATTATTATGCATTCTCCCCTCATGTGGTCCTAAGTTGGGGGAGTTTTCTCCCCCCCCCTTTTTGGGTTAGTCAGGAACTCCGCATCTCTCAGCTGCCCTCTCTTCTCGCACTTTTTCTCCCCTTGTCCGGGCTGTCCTGCTATGATATATTCTCTCTCCCCTTCCTCCTTTCCGTATTCCCCATCCACATCCCAGTTGCCATCTTTTCTCTTGTGGAGTTGCGCCCTTAACACCTCCCATTGATTCTTGCTCTCCAGTCCCCCCCTTCCATTCACATGGTCATCGTTCTTGTGGCTGCTGTCCCGTCTGGCATCTGCTTTCTCCTCCCCCCATTTCTAATACTGTTGGTCTCCATATCATCTCGGGTGTCTCGGGCGTCACTTCGTGGCCCCCATTGGCGCAATCAGACCGTCCCTTTGGGGCAGATTGATGTAACCATCCTCCCCCTTCTCGGGTGCGGTCGATCTGTTGCTGCCTCGAGCCGGCTCCTCCTGTCTTCCCCATTCGGGGAGTCCAGTGGAATCCTAGGTTTGTTGATCGTCATTCCTTTACCACCCGACAACCCCCTTGTTCTTTGGGAGCGCGTACATGCTCCCAGGGTGGGGGAGTCCTTTGATCCTTGGTTTTCCCCCACCTGAATGTTCGTAGGTGGGGCTACTCCTCCCAGATACTTCGGGAGGCACGGGGGAGTCCCTGGTTCGTTAACCGCCGTCCCTTCATCACTCAATAGTCCCCTTGTTCTTTGGGGGCGTGTGTGCGCTTTCGGGGTGGGGGTGGAGGAAAAGCCTCTCAGTCGTTGGTTATCCTCTGTCTGCATGTGCATGGGTGGTGTCACTCCTCCTAGGTGCTTCAGGAGGCGTGGGGGAATCTCTGGCTCGTTGATTCTGTTCCTTCGCTACCTGGCAGTCTCTTTGCTTTTGGGGAGTGTGTACATGCCCTCGAGGCGGGGGGGAGGTCTTTTAGGTGTTGATTATTCCCCACCTGGATGTTCGTGAGTCGTTGCGGTGAGGGACTCATCTCCTTCATGGTTTCCTTCTCTGGGACCCGCGGTGCGATGTCAGGTTGCTTCCACCAGGATGGGTGATCACACGTACTCCACTGATTGCTGGAACAGTCCTTGCAGTCGATCCTATATATAATCGCTGATTTTTCCCACGCTGGGGAGTGGATCCTTGGGCTGCATAACCTTAGAGTGTAGTGTTTGGTTGGGTCTATGTGCCACCTTCACATTAT